GACAAACTGCTTGACGAGGTAATCTCCATAAGTCCCAGCATTATTGCACGTCTCACGAAGTGTGCCACATGTTGCTTTAGATTACCTTTACTATAAAACTATTAAAACTTTGGAGGTTTATAGCTAGTAGGCATCTTCAATATATCGACCCTTGCAGTGTACGGATATGTAAGGAAGGACTCGGCAGCAACTTCATACTTGTTCTTAATAGTTCCTTCAATGAACTTTTTTAGTTGATCAATAGGAATCATCCCTTCAGATGAGACAGAGATAGCCTTAGTAGATACTACTTGTCTTGGGGGAGAAGGGAACTTCTGGGAGCTTGCCAGGTGCGAGGGTGGATTCTTCTTCCATCAATATTCTCACCCTATCTGTTAGCTTGTCGATTCTAGCATCTTGATTTTGTATGCACTTGGTCACCGTCTACTCCTCTATAGATGAAGTGTTTGTCACCATGGCTTGCATGTAGACGTTGTAGATGATGGATTGTCACACAGATTGATCCTCAATTGGCTTACGCTATGTGGTGTAAGTGGAGAGAATCCATCACTTGAAGCATCATCATCTTCCTTCACAGTAGAGTTCTTGGATCCGGAGATGTCAAGCAGAGCAAGAGTTTTCTTAATCTTTTCAGCAACATCGCTTCCTCCTTCAGGTGCGTTTGTGTAAGATCTTGCTCTTTTTGAGGATGAAGATCCGAAAATAGGGGTTAATGCGGACGTCACTTGGAGTGCTTGTAATCCTAAAGAGTTTACCTTTCTCCTTGTAGTCGGTCCAAAGCATCCAAAGGTGACATCGAGGATGCTTTCCGCATCAGCATAGAATCTGGAATTAGCAGCCTTGGTAGAAGTTGATCTGGAGTTGATTTTCTTTGAAGTCATTTCGATGTTCTTGAACTTTTGGTAAGATCTTGCTCTTTTTGAGGATGAAGATCCGAAAATAGGGGTTGGTGCGGACGTCACTTGGAGTGCTTGTAGTCCTAAAGAGCTTACCTTTCTCCTTGTAGTCGGTCCAAAGCTTCCAAAGGTGACATCGAGGATGCTTTCCGCATCAGGATAGAATCTGGAATTAGCAGCCTTGGCAGAAGTTGATCTGGAGTTAATTTTCTTTGAAGCCATTTCGATGTTCTTGAACTTTGGTGATTGAAAAGTTGAGATGAGAGGTAGAGATCGTCCCATTAGGCATGCCAGAATTTGTAGACAATAAATTTGCATCAGGAGAAAATAATCGAGACCAAAAAAATATTGCAACAATCGTTGTATTTGATTTCAAGTAATTTGAGTGACAATCTTTATGATTCCTCTGATTCTGTTTTTCCAATATAAATTCAAGGGCCTTTGAGCTTGATCTTGAATTTGAATTTGATTTAGCCGTCGCGAATGTTGTGATTGTTGCCACGAATTTTATCACGAGCAAGCCTTGATCTTGAACGCCTTGTATTTGATTTGACTTCCTTTTTTATCTTGAATACTTGAAATTTGTGTTGAAGTGCTTGAATGCTTGAACACTTGCAGTTTGCGAAGAATTGTGGCATTTGATCCACGAGCTTTAAAGCTGTCAATATGGGTTGGCTCAGCCCAGCCTAGCCCAGCCCACACGGGCTTTGGCATTGGACGGGCTGGCCTGGCCCACTATTTTGGTAGGCTTTAAAATGGTCAGCCTCTACATGGGGCACGGGCCCCCACGGGCTGGCCCACCATTTTTAAATTTATTTTCTATTTTTTTTAAAATTTAAGTTTCCACCTAGAGAATTATATATTATAATTCTCTAGGTTAAAACTTAAATTTAAAATATAGAAAATAAATTTAACCACTTTTGCAAAACTTAATCACTTTTGAAATTGTTATAATATATTACTATAAAACCAAAAAAAAATATTTCATTCATTAAAAGTCAATTCTTAAAACAAACTACTCAAAAATATTTTCAAGGTGCTCATCTTTATCAAGCACATTTGAATCCTCTTCTAAAATAGAGATGTCTTCACATCTTTATTTTCATCTAAATCTATAATTATATGCAAAGTTAATTAGTTAAACATTAAGAAATAACTAAAATTTTAAGAACAAAAAATATTTAAATTCACATAAAAAATATTACAAGTTTGAGACTGGACTACTCTTCTTGTTATTTTTTGTTCCCTATATTTTATATTTTTAATTATATATGTTTATTAAGCCCACGGGCTGGCCCAGCCCAACCTCGGTCAAGCCTCATGGCCACAGACATACTTGGGTCGAGCTTAAAACCCTCATTTTTAAATGGGCTCCAAAAATCTTAGGCCAACCCTATTAAATCACGAGTTGTGTTGGGCTAGCCCAGCAGGCCAAGCCCATATTGACGACTCTAACGAGCTCTCTTGTGTTTTTTTGTTGTAACTTTTGATCCCTTTTTTGAGTTATGAAAATCCTATTTATAGCTGTGGGGGAAGAGTTGTGATGAGAATAAACTCTTTCCGACCAATCAGATTGAAGCACAAGGCCGCATTTGATTGGCCAGAACATATCACTTGCACATGCGGCGCGATTTTATTGGTCTTTTAATTTGACTTGGCATGCCTTGTCATTTTGATATGTGGCATGATGGTTTTTCTATTTGACACGTCATTTGACCCGTGGCAACAAACTGGACCTCTAGAAAGATGATATGTTTGGCTTAATGAAGTGGGCTCATCATTTGTCGCCCAATCAAAATATAATTATTTTGACTAATATATTTAAAATATAGTCCACATTATTTGATCGATTTAAATTCAACAAAATTTAAATGCTTACAAACTCAAACCAAACTTCATACGACGTTAGTTCAGTAAACTAAAAGGTTCACTTCACCAAATAAGCCCTTTATGGGGAAACTTCAGCTTTCTAGGTCCACATATAAGCAGCCCAGTTTTATACAATCAGTTGACCCATAAATTTCATTTCAAAAAAGAAATTCTGATGCTACTCAGTTTTTTAGGGTTGAATACATATGGAGATACTTAAAGTTGGCACGATCTTTCATTTAGACACCTTTACTTAAGAGAGTTCCTATTGAGCACGTACGTTATATGAACTTTGTTCCAATTAAACACTTCTTGCTGAGTTGGCACATAGAGTGAGTTTCACCCAATATGGGCGCGTGAAAAGCCCAAAAAACAGATTATTTTTTTTGTTTTCTTTTTATTTCCTTATTCTTCTTTATGTCCACCACCATTTCCACCCCTCCACTTTCCGTCATCTTCTCCGACTCCTCCACTTTCAGTCATCTTCTCTGACTCCTCCACTTTCCGTCATCTTCTCCGACTCATTTTCCTCTTCTTTCGAATCCCATACCAGATTCAAATTCAGCCGAAAACGAAAAGTTCAATACAGTAGTACTTTCTTCAAAACTGTCATATAAAATACAGTAGTACTTAGAAGCACAATGAATGGAAATAACAGAGATTCTTATTGGAAAGGAATATGACAGTGCTGGAGCACAATGACATTTGTTTGTTTGTTATCAAGTCCTTATTTGTTTGCCAAGGAAAAGTTCTTGGCAGAGATTCTTGGCTATTTCCATTCCTTTCAGAACTGAAATGAAGAAGAAGAAGCAGAGAACTGACACTAAAACGAAGAAGAAGAAGAAGGAGAAGCAAAATGAATGAAAATAGCTTGAACTTTTCCAGTGAAAGCCAAGAATGTCATTGTGCTTCAGCAGACCCAAAATGAACCAATCTCACTCAAATCTTCACCAAATGATTTAAACTTGAAATGAAAACTCTAAAATATTCCAAGCCCCAGTGATCAATTCGAACAAACAACCGCAAAATCAAAAGACCTAAGTTCGTCTTCTTCGTCGAACAATCAGTTCAAGTTTCGAACCCAAAACCCTAGAAAAACAGTTCAAATCAAAGCTCAAATCTTTAGACCTCACCTCGTATCAGCGTTTACAACCAAAAACTCGAACACCCAACCAACTTCGAACCCTAATTTTCAGATTTTCAAAAAACCCAAGTACAAACTTTTCCGGTGAAATCTAAGAATTTTGCAAAATTTTGCATTTGTTCTGTTCGATTTGGACTGAAACTCCATTTCCGGCAATGTGGCCTAGAATTAAGCCAAGCCATGGTTATGGGAGTACTTTATTTTGCAGATGAAGATGGAAAGGAAGGGGGTGGGGGTCGTTGGGAAAGATGACGGAGGGGAGGGGTGGGTTGGGATTCTTGTTTTTCTTTTATTCAGCTTTATTTCTCTAAAGTCTTTTTTTAATTGTTAATAAATCCACGTGTCTCCATCTTATTGGTTACCCTGGCGTGTGAATTTCACGCATCTATTACGTATGGATGCCTAAAAATTTTGTGTCTAAATGATACAGTAAATACATGGTTAAAATGTTCAAATGAAACAAACTTTAGATAAAGTGTCTAAATGAAAGATCGTGCCAACTTTAAGTGTCTCCGTATGTATTCGGCCTTTTTTTTAGTGATATGATGAAAATGACTAGTTATTCACTAGCACCAGGAATGACATACTATGTTGACACAATTTATTGTAAAGAAAGATGCACCTCAGCCTTGCACGTACAGTTAGGTCTCATTGGGACTAAACAAAGAGTTCGTTTGATAGAATGTATTCGGGGAAAATAATATACTCCCTCCGTTCCAATTTATGTGAACTTGTTTGACTGGGCACGGAGTTTAAGAAAAAAATGAAGACTTTTGGAATTTGTGGTCCTAAACAAGTCCAAATGGGGCCCCGAGTATTTGTGTGGTTATAAAAGCTTCTCATTAAGGGTAGAGTTGTAACTTTAAGCTAAATTGTTACCAAATTTAGAAAGGGTTCATTCTTTTTGGAACGGACCAAAAAGGAAATAGGTTCACATAAACTGGAACAGAGGGAATATGTATTAATCCCTTATTTGGTAGTATTTTTTAATTTATTTGGTATTATCCTATGTACAACTAATACATAGCAAACCATGGCATTAGTAATACCATAGTTTTTAATACATGGATAAGCATGTAAACACCCCTATGCAATGCATGTTATTTTTAATACACCAAACAAACCAAACAAATGTATAAGAGATATACCAACATAACTAATCTCAAGATTACTAATACACCTTATTCAGTACTATTCTTATACACCCTACCAAACGACCCTAAGTAACTGGAACTCATTTTAAAGATGAATGCTCAGATTTACAATGGCAGTTCAGACTTGCAATCAAGGAGAAAGTTCTAATTGCAATTTCTAAAGTTAGAATTACATACCGCATCTTGATTAACAAATAAGAAGACATATTTTTAGGATATTTCTTCAATTCTGGCCTCTATGATTACGGAGAGCCCGTGGAACCAACATCACTTACCTGCAGCAGCTCTTGAGCTGCCCAACAAAACTGTTTGAATTACACTACATACAGTGGGACTGAGACTAGATTCTTACGTTGTCACAAAATCAGCAGACTTGAAAACAGCAAATTGATTGCCATCAAGATATAGATCCTGGGAATATAACTGCTGCTACTCAAATCTTCTGAAGCCGGACCTAATCCCACATTCGTTGACCCACTAAAATTTCCACTCCCATTTTTGCTGCACAACGATGCACAAAGATACCTCAAAAACTGAAGTCTATACCGGAGATCATAAAGCAACACCAAAATACTACAGAGAAGATAGATAGTTTCTAATGGTTTGAGAAAATCCTACAGATAAATGTGATAAAACTTGCGATATATGTAGTGTTTTATCCGATTCAACTGGATTATAGAATAAGAATATGATTAGCACATTCTTTCTGATCCTATCCAGCAAAATTAAGCACCACATCAAGCATAACCAAAAAACCAACCAAAGAAGGCTCTCATGACTCAGAGGCGGACCTATGCCAACAATTTCATGTATATATGTATATGTCTTAAGAAAATAATGATATATTAGTAGTTGACACCCTACATATGATGCATATTTTAGTTAAATCCAAAAGTGTACCTCCGAACTTCAAATTCTAAGTCCAGCTCTGTCTCATGTTACACGCCAAATTAGTTTCTAATTAATAAGGCCTATATAAGAGCAGAGCCATAATAACAACCTTAAAGCATATAGCAAATCTTCTTCATTCTTTTTTCGCAAAGTTAAGTTGATATCCTCGAACCTGAATCAAATATAAGCTTTTATTCTATTTTGATTGATTCTAATACTATTCCATTTTCATTTTTAAAAATGATTAATTACCATATAAAACTCTATTTACTCTACTTTAAGTTTTACTCATAAGATTTAGTAATATACTAATAAATAATTCACATTTAAGGCAACAGTAAGATCTTCTAGCACAATCGATAACAGTTACCTGGATGGAAATTTACATCCACCATGACCTGAAAAAAGTTTATACAACAAAAACAGAAATCAGAAAAACAAATTAAATAACAATTTCAGTAACGAAATTATACGGAAATGAAAATTGAAAAGTAAAGTACTCACTGGGATTTATAGAAATGAGAGCAGCGTTGTTATCGAAATTACAAGCATCCTCAGTCATACCATGCCTGATGAAGTAATCATTGAAAGCATACGACGCCGTTTTCTGGATGTCGGAAGCGTCATAGCAAGGTTCACCGGGCTGAATAGGCCCACAATTAGCACCTCCAGGCCCACAAGCCCAATCAATCGCCGATTGAAGTGCAGCATCTTCTGCGTTGTTCTTTGCCACACACCACAACTGAACCGTCCCCCCTCCGCCGCCGCCGCCGCCGCCTTGGGCAGCACAAAGGGTGGAGATTAGAGAGAATAGAAGGAGTGAAAGTGAGAATTTGGGAGACATTTGTTTTGTTCAGTTACAGGAATTGTGATAGAGAATGAAATGTAAATATGGAGGTGGCCGTTTAAGAAACGGTTATATAAATATAAATATGAAGAAATTGTAGTTAATGAATAGAGACTCAGAATTTGACCGTTGGTTTTGTAATAGATAGAGATCTGAGAAGTGCTAAGAAAAGACTGGAGAAGGCTAGAGAATAGAGAGTGATTGTTCAGACTTTTTTTTTCTAAACAAGACAAGAATGTACACACACAATACACTCACTATGTGAGTTATTGGTTTCATTTGTTGGAATCCAAGTATGACTATTGTCTTCCTTTTTTCCCAAATAGGAAGTTATAAAGCTTTTTTCTGAAGGGAAAAGAAAAGGCAAAGAGGTAATAGGGCACTCCGACTCAAAGCTAAGTTCTACCAAGTGGTTGCTAGATTGATTATATTATATTTGATTGAGTGTTAGCCCATCAAAATCTTTCTTGTTCAAAAAAATGAAAATAGCGGAAATGACGATGGTGAGATGAGTGTGTGGGCATACTGTGAAAGATATAATTAGGAATGAAGACATTCAGGATAAGGTGTGAGTGACCTTCGTGGTAAACAAGATGTGAGAAGCGAGGTAGAGATTGTTCGAAAATGTGAAGAGTAGATGCACAAATTCCCTGGTGAGTAGGTGTGAGAGGTTAGCTATGGTGGGGCAAAGGAGGGTAGAGGTAGGCCGAGAAGTATTGGAGAGGTGTGATTAGACAAGACTTGACATATTTTCAGCTTGCCGAGGATACAATTCTCGATAGGAGGGTGTGTAGATCGGGAATTAGGGTAGTAGGTTATGTAAGTAGTCGAGAGTAATTCTTTTTCGTACCTGTATTGCTTTTTTGTACCCGTAGTACTAGTATATTATTGTATTTTCTATTGTTAAATTTCTAATACTATTTGACGTTTCTAGTTTCGGTTATCTTTCTCTAGCTGTAGTTACTGCTTCCTTTTACTTAGATTTTCTTTAGTCGTATTTTTTTATCTAAATTGTTGTGGTTATATTTTTCTTGAGTCGAAGGTTATGGAAAATAGCATATCTACCTTCACAAGGCAGATCCTACTTGTGAGATTATACTGAATATGTTATTGTAATAGTTTTCAAAGCCGAAATCAACTTAAACACGCGCCATGCCTGATTAATTTTTTTTTAATAAACAGAAAGAAAAATAAAGTTTAAAGACCAAAACCGCAATGGTGTTTCTTTCTAGACTTTACCACCACAACAGATAAAATATGAAAAAGAGAAAGCGAGTCGCGTTTTCTTTTTCCACCGACACCAACTTTGAAGAGGAGAAAAGTGAAGCAAAAACAAAAGGGTGCAAAAATGGGAAATCAGATATTCGAGTATAGTTTTATCTTTATTACCAATTAAGTGCATGGTTCGTCTTCTTCCCTTTTTTCCTTCTCGTTCCTTTAATTCATGGACCCCTCCACCCAATAAAATAAGAAAAGTAATGAGTACGTTTCTTGTATAAAAGAAAATCAATCGGCACATTTGGAAGTTGGAACAATGAAGTTTCTCTCCAAGTTATGAGGAAAGTTGTGGTAGGGTGTTAAGTACTTTTTCCTTCTTAATTGGTCAGAGGTATTTTTTCTTTCTTAATCAGAGGTCTCGGATTAAAATCTTGGGTATGTATTTGTTAAGGAGTACTTTACTCCTAATATAAAATTTTAGCGCAAATTAATTAGGCCCCAATGCGATTACCCAACACTAGGTGAAAAGCCAAAAAAAAAAAAGTTTCTATCTAAATTTTCGTTTTCACTCTCAAAATTAAGACCAGTTTGAATGTGAAAAATCATCATGTAATTAGTCAACAGAGGTTACAATAAGAATAATTACATCTAAATTCAACCTTGCAAAATCATCCAGAAATTGTTACAATTTTCTGTTTGTATGCTTGATTTTGATGTTGCTGGTTGCCCTTAACTTATTCACTCGGTTGCTGTCTCAAATAAGTCAAGTTCAAGTGAAGTTCCTTTTTATAGTTCTATGTTTAGAGTATAAATTATTATCGACCTAATCTTTAACCAATTTCTATACCTGATATTTCTTAAAACCTTGCCTTTCCTCTTTACTGCTATCTTTTCTTCGCTTATTCTCCAGTTGATTGCCTCATTGAAGTTGACTGGGATCTTGATTAAGGTAATAAAACTACTAGAATTCGAATGCGTGACACTACGACCTGAATTGTGTCTTATTGACTACTGGGTTGTATCACCTGTCCCCTGGTGGGACGAAGGTGTGTGTACACCTTTTCTTTAGGGACAAAATTCAAAAACTGAGTTTGAAAAAGCTATTTATCCAAAAACTCAAATAAACGCCGGATTAGCTAGTTTTGAACTTATCAAGTTTGGAGATTACTAATAGTCTGTTTGACCAAATTACTAAAATTAGCTTATTTTGAAATTTTTTTTTCCTAAAAGTGTTTTCCAAAAAAAATAGTTTTGGTGAAAAATTATTTGTGTTTAGTTAATCAATTTGAAAACACACTTTTAAATGGTAAATAGTGTTTGATCAAACTTTTAGAAACTGCTTCCAATTATATTTTTTCTCAAATATGCTTTTCAAAAAAGTGTTTTTGGTGAAATTTTTTTTTTCCTGCTTCTCAAAAAATTACTCCTACTCAAAATTACCTTTTTTCCCCATAAAACTATGTAGATTTGCTAGTTCACCATTGGGGTTGGATAACTAGGGGATTGATAACAACACGATAGGAGATTCAAGAATTAATAAAGAAAAACCAAGAAATATGCGGAAGCTAGACGAAAATAAAGAAACAAAAAAGAAGACTGAAATTAAAGATAGATTGAATTCAAGAAAGAGTCTCTTGAATTCAAGAAGTCTATTCTTGAAGTTGAATCCTAACAACAACAATTAGCTAACGAAGAACTAATCGGATTTGATAGAGACTTAAAACCAAGATACAGATTGTGAAACCCGACCCTTTAGAATAACAAGAACAACAATAAGCCTAAACTTATCACCTTTCTTGAATACCTAGAAGTGATCTAAGATTTCGAAAATGGTTTAATCTTACCACCTTAAGTTGAATCTTAAAGGTTGAAGAATAAATCCAAGAGTAGCCACACACAAGAGTGCTAAATTACTTTGGACAACAAGTTCAACTACCTTAGGAAAAGAAAAATACTAGGAATAAAAACCAAGTCATCTTGGAAAGAAATTCCAAAAATCTTAGAAAAAGGAAAACATAATCTTAACTAACGAGGAAAGCAATCTTGGGTAGAATCTTAAAAATCTTGGAAATCTTGAAGGAAATTTGCAAGCAACTTGGCACCAACTTGCACTCAACATCTAGCACAACTTTTGTATCATCCTTGGACATCAAGTAAGTCATTTTTATGCTATAAAAATGTGGCTTTATGTAGGACTTCATGGGCTGCAAGTTTGGACACATTTTAGGTGTTAAATTGGTCCAACAGTGGCCTGATTTGGACCTTCTTCAAAGGATATTTCTTGGGATCTAATCCACATCTTATTGGACATGAATATGGGCCATAAAAATAATTGTAACACCTAAATAATTCATATCCTTAATCCTTAAGCTTTCCTCCCAACTAACAACTTCTTTAATCTTTCCTGAAGTCCAATGATCTTGTTTTGTAACTTTTTAGCTTGAGATCTTGTTAAAGGTCCTCTTTGAGATTCCAAAGCTTCATCCTTGTCCTTGAATAAATTTGAACTTCCTAGGATGTTATCAGGGATACTTTTTTCTTAGGTCTAAAGGAGCCTACGTGGAAAATAACTTAGCTAGATCTCTATCTTTGAAAGTTCGAATGATTCCCTTTTCCTCATGAGTTTTTTTTTTGATGAACTGAAAATTTATTTAATAGAAGTTACTCACCAACAGTTCTGATCCTGGGGATCACTACATAGAGACGATAATCTATGCATAGTATGCTGATTACCAATCTTTGCTAGATGTCTATAACTATTAATAGAATAGTTTTATCATAAACATCTGCTCATTTGTCCGCCAACATCCTGCTCATGATATATGGTGGAGGAATAGCCAAAAGACAACATTTATTGAAACTAGAAAGTATAGTTGCATGCTTAGCCAAAAGGTGAGCCACTTCATTGCCTTGACGAAAGTTATGTTGGATCACTACCATGCCCATTTTGGAGATTAACCACATGCATATATTAATGATAGAATCGTAAGTTATACATTCATTGTTAATATAAATAATTACATGTGTAGCATCTGTTTCTACTTCCAAGGGATATACTTTCATCTCATGAGCAATGTGATGTCCTTGGTAGAGGGCTTGAAGTTCTGTTTCAATAGGTGCTCTTGAGTAAGTTCTCATTTGGAACCCTAGGATCCAATCTCCACTGGAGTTCCTAAAAATTCCCCCTACTCCACCATGTGTAACTCCCTCTTTAAAGGCCCCGTCTATATTTAACTTGTACCAGCCTCTACGAGGTGCTACCCAACAGAATTTAACAGGAATTTGCCTATCTAATTTAATTTCCCATTCCGTCAGTAGTTTATACTTAGTGGCTTGGTTTAAGACAAGATTTAAGGAGATTTCATTCGATGTGTTGTTAATATTATTGTTATTCATATTTAGCCAGATATTCCATATAACAAGAGGAAATATATTATTCCATGATATATGGTTATTGGCTATATTTGGGTTTAGCTCTCGAAGGTAGATTAACTAGTTGTCCTTATTGGGGTGATGACTCTTAATATCCATACCAACTTGTTGCCACAAATTTTTTACCACGGAGCATCCCCAAAAAATATGAATAATCTCCTCTGCCTCATTGCAATAAATTGTGCACAAATTATTGATGTTCATACCTATGCGTGTTATGTGGTACCTACATGGTAGTCTATTGTGGTAACTAAGCCAGAGAAAATATTTAATTTTGTTGGGATGGTGTATCTCCCATATTCATTTGAAATTCTTACTTATGGGAGGATCCTTGTCAATCAGGTCATAGTATGATATTGTTGAAAAGTTACCTTTATTGCTAATGTCTCATATTATGGTATCCTTATTACCTTCTGGAGAGAAGATAATCGATGTAATCTTTTGATGTATTTCAGTGAGGATGTTTAAGGAGATTTTTCTCAGGTACCACATATTATTAGATCTAGTATTTCTAATTGTGAGAGCTGACTCATGTTTATTGAGTGGTCCGGTCACATAACTTCTAAGGTTATTAGAGTTAGGGACCCACATAGTTTTTTGAATATTTAGAGCTGAATTTTAGTGGATAGACCATGCTAACCTTATTGGCAGATTGACCATCATTTAATAATGCTCTTTCAGATGAAGGAGGTGTTGTATTTGGAATAATTTGTGTATTTTTTGATGATATATTTTCCCAACCCATAGGAAGTT